ATATATGTGTATATATATATTGCTTTAGACCTATACAAAATTCATTTCCATATTCATCATTTGTGCATGTTTGACAGGCCACATTTTGTAATACAGTAAAGTGCCTATTTTCCTAAATATTAAAAACTGACTTTTTTCTTTTTATCAAAATATATGCCATCATATCTATCATAGCGATTGTTTCTTAGTGTTGTGCTTTGAATCTGTATTAATCTATTTTCTCACTGCATATGACTTTTGTGTGCATTACAGGTCCTATGCTTCTTAGGAAATAATTCAAGAAAGGTTTCATTTTCTATACATCACAATAAAGCAATAACTATAAACAATAAGACAAAAATATTTTTAATGTCCATTTTATCCTGCCATGGAAGTGTAACTTCTGCCAAAAATGCTTTTCTTTCTGCCCCATTTCATTCTTCAGATAGTACATAAAATGTCACTTGGGAGAGAGTTTGCTAAATACATAGAGATTTTTTGGATTACATTACACTGTTTGCTCCATTCAAAGATTAGTTAAATTTTGTGATTGTTAGTTTGGTTTATTATTTCTGATTGTCAGCCACATCCAGGATGGCAGAAGTGATGTCTCTTTTGTTCACTTTCAAGAAGCAGGTCAGCAGTGGATCTTCAACCCACCTTATTTTGTTGTTGCTGTTGTGTTTTGTTTTGCTTTAGGCATTTAGCAGCCAGAAGCTATGGTTTTTAGCTTCTGCTTCTAGTGATAGGTGGAAAAGAGGGATGAGAAAGGGGTTTTACTAGCCCAGCCAGAAACAGAAACTAAGAACCCATGACTGTGTTCTCTCCCGTGGATGCCCTTAGACAAAGGGCCACCAAGGGATCTAGAATTCTCAAATCACAGGTTTAGTTAGTGGGAAGTATAAACTGTTACCTGAAGGATGAGAAGCCAGGAGAAAGAGGGCCTGTGGAGAGAGGGGAGCCTGCTCCTGCAGAGCAAACAGGTCATACCAAGGAGAATGTGGAGGTGAGGTTGTGCAAGGAATAGACACATCCAGCGTGGGAGACACAGGGAACGTGGAAGATGAAGTGACAAAGAGGAGGCCAGAGGGATGTACATGCCTGGACCCCAAAGTGTCTTTAAGCTATGATGAGGAGATTGAATGAACTCAAAGGAAAGTGTCAGGATCAGATGACTAATTGTTGTGTGGTTTAATAGGAGATATTTTGGCATAAATATATTCCAAGTGGAAGTATATCCAATGTATTCCTGAAATACTCTAAAAGATTTATGGTGAAAATTGTTGATAGTTTGAAGCTGTAGAATATTTATATGAAGAGGTAGTAGTTCTGGATTCAAATTTCCTCAGTTTCCAAACTGGGTTGACCCCTTGTAACTGTATGACTTGGATGTATACATCAGAGGCTAAGCCCTAGTTTCTTTATCACTAAGATGAGAATAATAATAGTACTGAGTATTCCACTAATTAACATTAATATTATAGACAAATTGAAACTGCAGCTTTATTACATGAAATACAGAGCACTTTCCTATGCATTTCCTGTTTTTTAAGTACACCATTTCTCTTTCAAAAGGCAGGGGGAAAAACACACAAAAAGTAAATGGTACAATTAGTATGTCAAGGTGACATTGTAATGACTTGTATAACACAGAGAAAACCATATACCTTGCCTACAAGACACCTAGGGCTAACAAATCTGCAGGCATTTTCCTTTTGATAGTCATAAGATTCAATGAGGTTCATGCTATTTTTGTCTCCTTTTACACTAAGGATATTGAGTCAAAGGCAATTTATGTAATTTGTCCAAGATCATTGTCTAAAATGGGGCAGAGTAAGACTATCCAATAGAGGCTGGAGTCCACCCTCTTACATATTAAGTTCTTCTTTGGCAACAAATAATATTTTTTAGTGATATTATGTATACTTTGTAGGCCCTTAACATTTTATTTATTTGGTTATATACTACATTCAAAAATATTTGCAGGAATCATGGTGGCCTCATTGTATGGGCATTTTTACAATGCAAAAATCAGTACAAGAAACCGGAGTCAACAGCATTAAAATATTTCCCCATGTGTCAGTGGTCCTGTCCTACAGGATCACTACAAATATGTCCTACAACCACTGGCAAATATGTTCATAGTTGTCTAAGCTAAAACACCAAGAGTTCACACATTTGTATAGGGAAATAAAGACTTTAGTACATGCATATGTGTGTTAACTCTCCTCATCTCAAGCAAGTTTTCCTTGCCTGAGAAAACTTTTTAAAATGGGAAATACTCTTCAAGTTCAAGGACTGACTGATTAAGCCCAGATCATTTTTATTTAGTCAGATGTGAAGAAATACACAGTTAATTGGTAGGCAAGATCTCAATGTACCAGAATCCAATCATAGAGTCTTCAAAACACTAGTGAAATAAAAGTTAATGAGACATTTTAAAGACATTACAATTTTATGATACCGATTTATTTTGAAAACTGGCAAGGATAAATTTAAGTTTAATATGCTGAATTAAATTCTCTGTCTGCACTTTGTGATTACAACCAGAAGAAATATCATTAAATAGTGAATAGTGAATATATATATATGTATATGTAAAAAAAAAATATATATATATATATGCTGTGTTTCTAATTAAGAGTTCCTTTTGTTCTTTTCTTTTTTATATTGGTCTTGGAATTTAGTGAGTTATATTCTTATTGCCCACTGAATTATAATAAATGAAGGGAACAAAATACTCCAAATCAGCAATAATTGAAACATGATTGGACATATACCAATGCTAACAAAAATAATTACAACCAGGCATCTGTATTATTATAGCAAATATTATAATGAGGAGTGAAGTGGTTGATATCGCTATAGAACACTTTTTAAATGTTTTTTTCTATAATTAAAAGTTAATATTAAGTTTAATATTATCAGATCTCTTAATTAGATGCCTTAATATTCATCTTTTAAAAAGATTATATAGTCTTTTTTTCCAATGATTAAAGACTTATTTTGTAAGTTAGTTGAAGTAATGAAACCCATTCAGTTGATTAAATAGATGGATCATAAAGAGGCGATTTATGATGTGTAACTATATAAAAGCAAATGAAAAAAAGTGAGAGGATTTAATGTCATGCACATAAAATATTATCTAAGATTATTTACACCAGAAAAGCATATCTGAGAATAAAAATGGGTAATTATATCTAGCCATGGAACTTATATTAATTTACAAATTAAGCTGCATGTTTTCAGCACTTATTTTAAAGCAAAAATTGTACTTACTATATCCTCAATATACCTACATTACTATGTTGAATAAAGAAATGGGTATCTGTATTGTTACATATGGTATGCCTTTATAAATTAATTTGTGTTTTGGTATTTATATGGAAAGTTGATTTCAATTCCTTTACAAAGCTTTGCAGTGGGCTAAGACTCTGTGTAGTATTATCGATGCTGTAAAGTTTTCTCATTTCCAAGAGACAGTCATTACTTAATCAGTACTCCTTAGACCACCTTGACCATACCTAAGAATCTAACACTGACTTGACACATATTACATCATAAACAAAATGATTGAACAAATACATATATTTGTTATAATGTAAATTATGTATCTTTAAAACTTAACTGTGCTTGTCTGATCCACCAGACTGCAAAATCTTTGACACACAAGAATCAGGTCTTTTTCATAATATTTTATTTTTAGAGCTTATCACAGTATTAACCACAGTAATAAATTAATTCATGTATAAGTTAGATGTGCTTTTGCTTGAAAATAACAGAAAGCTCAACCAACATAAATTAAATAAATATAGGTTATCCTGCTCACATAGTAAAGAAGTCAGAAGTATGCATTCTAGGTGTCATACCACAATTCACACCTTAAATCAGGCTCTTTATCTTTATGATTCACCATTTTGAATGTTATGAGAAGGCTGTTATACTTACTTTCTTCCAGAACCACATCCTTTTTCAAACACAAGGAAGGCAGAAGAAAGAAAGTTCCTCATTGTGATCTTCCCATATTTTTCTAGATGGGGAAAACTTCTCAGTATACTTCATCTCACATCCCAGCAGCCAGAGCCAGGCCATAGGCCTGTCATGAAACTAGTCAACAGTCGGGCATCGTGGAAAAGGTAGACTATGGTTTAACCTCTGGGATTGGGATAGAGGCCTATTCGCCCATAGATCAATAGGTTCTGCATTCTGCCTGAAAAAATTGAGGCTTAATTAGCAGGAAAAAAGAAAACCATTAAGTAGTTATTGGACCTTAAATATTACAGTTTGTATTTCATAGTGGACAATGTTATAATAGATATGACCTGAATAGAACTGGATTTGTCAAAGTGAATTTTTTATGTCATATGCTATCTTAAATTGCATCTTTATATTTTTACTTGTATTTGTTTGGCAAAAGTAAATATGAGCATTTTCTATTTCTTAGTGGATAGTTACAAATATTTAAATTCCTCTATATTTTTAGTTAGATTGGAAAAATATGCAATATTGAAAAGATGGGGCTGGATACGGTGGCTCACGCCTGTAATCCCAGCACTTTGAGAGGCCGAGGCAGGTGGATCACGAGGTCAGTTCAAGACCAGCCTGGCCAAGATGGTGAAACCTCATCTCTATTAGAATACAAAATTTAGCCAGGCGTGGGTGGTGGCGCATGCCTGTAATCCCAGCTACTCAGGAGGCTGAGGCAGTGGAATCGCTTGAATCTGGGAGGCAGAGGTTGCAGTGAGCCAAGATTGGGCTACTATACTCCAGCCTGGTGATAGAGCAAGACTCTGCCTCAAATAAATAAATAAATAAATAAAAGAGAAAAATAAAAAAACAAGCAAAAAAAGAAAAAAAAAAAAAAAGCAAAGCAAGAGACACACAAACAAGCAAATGCATGTAAAGCGATGTATTTTTTTTGAGAAAAGATGCATTGTTTTCATACATTTTCAAAAATATAGGTCTTCTTGTAATTGCAAGGGAAATTTCAGAGTGAAATTATGTTCTCTATCTTTTCTTAGGTCTTAAAGATAAATATGAATTTAGATTCCATTCATCGATTGATTGAGGAAACGCAGATCTTCCAGATGCAGCAGTCATCAATTAAGTCACACTGTGACATGGTGGCACCTGTCTCACCCACCAGGGATACCTATAATACCCGCTTCCCATTTTATGGGCTGCAATCTCACACTGCTCACAATTTATGTGCACATTCATGTAACACCAATGAATGGGATATTTGTGAGGAACTTCGCCTCCGGGAACTTGAAGAAGTCAAGGCCAGAGCTGCTCAGATGGAAAAGACCATGCGGTGGTGGTCGGACTGCACTGCCAACTGGAGAGAAAAATGGAGTAAAGTTCGAGCGGAAAGGAACAGTGCCAGGGAGGAAGGAAGACAACTCAGACTAAAACTAGAGATGGCAATGAAAGAATTGAGTACACTGAAAAAGAAACAGAGTCTGCCACCTCAGAAGGAGGCATTAGAAGCTAAAATCACCCAGGATCTGAAGCTTCCTAGTTTCGTAGAAGAATCCTGTGAACATAGAGAACAATTTCAATTTGGTTTTCAAACGTGTGAGTCTATCAGAGAGTGTTTAGTAAAAAGACAATTTTCTACAAAGGAGGAAACAAATAATAAGGTAAGAAAAAAATCCAGAGGTGATGTGACAGGGAGGAAGAAGGAAGTGACAAATCCAATAGTGACTACGCTAGTCTGCCAGGGCTACCATAACAAAGTACCCTAATCAGGGTGGTTTAAGGAAGAGAATGCATTTTCTTACAATTGTAGAAGCTAGAAGTACACCATCAAGGTGCTAGCATGGCTGGTTTCTTCTGAGGCCTCTCTCCTTGGCTTATAGAATGCTGTTTTCTCCCTGTGTCTTCCATGGTCTTTTCTCTGTACACATGTCTGTGTCTTAAGTTCTTTTAGGACACTCTAATGAACCTAATTTAACTAAATCATCTTCCTAAGTCCCTGTCTTCACCAACAATCACATTCTGAGGTACTGGGTTAGGACTTCAACAAATAAATTTTGGGAAAGCACACTTTCAGCCCATACCAGTTGTTTTACTAATATTTATAGGAAAAAAAAAAAAAAAAAACAACTAAGCTTTTTTTTTATCTGAAAAGAAAATATTTGGAGACATTTCTTTCCATTTCCCTTAATTTGTCAAAATTGTAAACAATCCATAGCGTAGTTTGAATATTTCTCAAAGTTTGGGACTCAAGCCTCATGATTTAACTTCTTATAAAATGGGTACTGCAGGCAAATAGGGTACTTTAGGAAATGCTTCATAGGGTCCACTGACGGGATTTCTTGATATACTTAGAATATCAGTTTCTGATAATTCTGTACAAAACAAGTATAACTTTAAAACTTCTATCAGTTCGTACACTTATTCATCCATGAACCACCACCCTGTTTCGTTTGTTTGTTTGTTTGCACTTGGTAAATACTATTAACAACCCAAAGAACATACTTTGGGAACTCCTGTTACCTCTTATCATAATATCAGTTTATTTTGTTACCTCTTTCTACTTAATCCCATCTCTAATACATATTAGTTAATATCTGGCACCTCTACCATTGCATTTAGTGTTTTAAGCCATTCTATAATGTGTAGAATTTACGGTAGGTAAAACCTATAATTCATTGCAAATAAAATAATGAAGATTACAATAATGTAATTACTTCTTCTTATTTGTTTTTCTACATTTTCTTTTAAAAGCATTCAATGTTGGTAATCTAGGTTGTTAGTACCTTTGTATGTATCTTTTGGAAAATCATATATTCTCAAAATTGAGCTATATTAATGTTTGCACTGGAGGAATGCAATGATGAGCATAAGGGAACATAGCTCACATAATGTTCTCTGAATCCACAAAACTATTTTGTTATTACAAGTTACTAGACTTTGCATTTGAGAGAATGAAGGATTCTCTTCACATGTATTATTATGGAAAATTCTCAATATCTTGGGATTTCTTCTGAAATATCTTTGTAACATTAATGTCAAGAAAAAATCAAACATAGTAGATATTTATTAAAATTTATTTATTTGCTAAAATTCCTTCTGGAATTTCCTTCTGATAGTAGCAAAATAAATATTACCTGTTGAAGAAGTTTTAATCAGTTTTTTCCTTAAAATTTTGACCTCTCTTTGCCAACTCTATGCCCAACAAGAAAGATATGTATATGTATCATTCGCCTGACTTCAATACTTTCCATGAACAATACATCTTATTTTATTGTTTGTCAAAATATTATGATACAGATAATTGCAATACTCATTCTTGAGAGAATTAAGGAATGAATTATACTAGGTAATCTGGCATCCATATATTATTTAAATTTTAAATATTTTTATTTAAATATTATGGAGATTTTACTTGAGCTTGATTATTCAATGAGATTTTATTTAAAATTGCCTTTCACTTCAAACTTATAAACTAGGGTAAATTTAAATTATAGTCAAAACTAATAGCATGAGTCCTGTGAAGTTTTTGAGTTATGCACTAAGAGTATTGATGCAGTTGCTGCCCTAGTGTTGATGTCCATATCAAGTGTCCCATTAAATTCTATTTGAGATGTGACTCATGAATTAAAATAAAGCAATAAGTAGAACTAAAATAAAGCAATAAGTGAGCTTATTAAAATATTCAAGAGCTTTCTGAAAATTCTATCTTGTCTTTCAAAAATGTTAAAAAAATAATTACTTTGAAACTATGTCTTACTTATGACAAGAGAAACTTGAAAAAGAATTCATCAACTCATTAAAAAATTCTTTACAGCTGTTCAACTTTGTGTATGGTTATTTTTAGCTAGGATTAGAAAAAGAAAACAAACAAAGAGCTAAAGCAGACCTTTTTAGAAATGTATTTTATTATAACAAGGTAGAACATAGAAACGTTTGAAGAAGAACGTAAGTAAGATCGGTCATGTAACACTTTCAGGTAATGATAATGAAATAAAAATATGGATTTGATGTTGTATCCTAACATTTATTTCTTTATGAAAATGTATTGTTGTCATGATTTTTCTCCTAAGGGGTTTAAATATCCAACATAATTGTTTTTTTTTTTTTTTTTTCCAGGAAGAAGGAGTGGTTATTGATTCTTTAAAATTAAATGAGGAGATGAAACCTAATCTAGATTGTGTTGATTTCTTCAAGAATGGTGGCTCTGGAAATGGTGAAATGAAACCTGGGCTGAAACTGAAAGCGATAAACCTGCCTTTGGAAAATGAAATAACTGAAATTTCAGCTTCGCAGATGCATTTGGATGAGTTCCAAAAACTCTTATGGAAGGAAAGAGAGTAAGTGCTAATCATTCTCTACCTTAACCAAGTTTGTTTTATTTATTTTTTTTTAATTTATTTTTTTTCCGATTTATTTATTTTATTGCATTTTAGGTTTTGGGGTACATGTGAAGAACATGCAAAATTGTTGCATAGGAACACACATGGCAGTGTGATTTGCTGCCTTCCTCCCCATTACCTACATCTGGCATTTCTCCCCTTGCTATCTCTCCCCAGCTTCCCACCCCCCACCGTCCCTCCCCTATTTCCCCCCAACTGACCCCAGTGTGTAGTGCTCCCCTCCCTGTGTCCATGTGTTCTCGTTGTTCAACACCCACGTATGAGTGAAAACATGCGGTGTTTGATCTTCTGCTCTTCTGTCAGTTTGCTGAGAATGATGGTTTCCAGGTTCATCCATGTCCCTACAAAGGACCCAAACTCATCGTTTTTGATGGATGCATAATATTCCATGGTGTATATGTGCCACATTTTCCCTATCCAGTCTATCATCGATGAGCATTTGGGTTGGTTCCAGGTCTTTGCTATTGTAAACAGTGCTGCAATGAACATTCGTGTGCACGTGTCCTCATAGTAGAACGATTTGTAATCCTTTGGATATATACCCAGTAATGAGATTGCTGGGTCAAATGGAATTTCTATTTCTATGTCCTTGAGGAATCACCACACTGTCTTCCACAATGGTTGAACTAATTTACACTGCCACCAACAGTGTAAAAGTGTTCCTATTTCTCCGCATCCTCTCCAGCATCTGTTGTCTCCAGATTTTTTAATGATCGCCATTCTAACTGGTGTGAGATGGTATCTCAATGTAGTTTTGATTTGCATTTCTCTGATGACCAGTGATGATGAGCATTTTTTCATATGTTTGTTGGCCTCATGTATGTTTTCTTTTGTAAAGTGTCTGTTCATATCCTTTGCCCACTTTTGAATGGGCTTGTTAGTTTTTTTCTTGTAAATCTGTTTTAGTTCTTTGTAAATTTTGGATATCAGCCCTTTGTCAGATGGGTAAACTGCAAAAATTTTTTCCCATTCTGTTGGTTGCCGATTCACTCTAATGATTGTTTCTTTTGCTGTGCAGAAGCTGTAGAGTTTGTTTAGGTCCCATTTGTCTATTTTGGCTTTTGTTGTCAATGCTTTTGGTGTTTTGGTCATGAAGTCCTTGCCTACACCTATGTCCTGAATGGTTTTGCCTAGATTTTCTTCTAGTGTTTTTATGGTGTTAGGTCTTATGTTTAAGTCTTTAATCCATCTGGAGTTAATATTAGTGTAAGGTGTCAGGAAGGGGTACCGTTTCTGCTTTCTGCACATGGCTAGCCAGCTTTCCCAACACTATTTATTGAACAGGGAATCCTTTCCCCATTGCTTGTTTTTGTCTGGTTTGTCAAAGATCAGGTGGTTGTAGATATGTTGTGTTGCCTCCGAGACCTCTGTTCTGTTCCATTGGCCTATATCTCTGTTTTGGTACCAGTACCATGCTGTTTTGATTACTGTAGGCTTGTAGTATAGTTTGAAGTCTGGTAGTGTGATGCCCCCCGCATTGTTCTTTTTGCTTAGAATTGACTTGGCTATGCGGGCCCCTTTTTGGTTCCATATGAAGTTTAAGGTGGTTTTTTCCAGTTCTGCGAAGAAGGTCATTGGTAGCTTGATGGGGATAGTATTGAATCTGTAAATTAGTTTGGGCAGTATGGCCATTTTCACGATATTGATTCTTCCTAACCATGAACATGGAATGTTTCTCCATCTGTTTGTGTCCTCTCTTATTTCGTTGAGCAGTGGCTTGTAGTTCTCCTTGAAGAGGTCCTTTACGTTCCTTGTTAGTTGTATTCCTAGGTATTTTATTCTCTTTGTGGCAATTGTGAATGGAAGTTTGTTCTTGATTTGGCTCTCTTTAAAGTCTGTTATTGGTGTATAGGAATGCATGTGGTTTTTGTACATTGATTTTGTATCCTGAGACTTTGCTGAACTTGCTTATCAGTTTCAGGAGGTTTGGGGCTGAGACGATGGGGTCTTCTAGATATACAATCATGTCGTCTGCAAATAGAGACAATTTGACTTCCTCCTTTCCTATTTGAATACCCTTTATTTCTTTTTCTTGCCTGATTGCTCTGGCTAGAACTTCCAGTACTATATTGAATAGCAGTGGTGAGAGCGGGCATCCTTGTCTGGTGCCACATTTCAAGGGGAATGCTTCCAGTTTTTGCCCATTCAGTATGATATTGGCTGTTGGTTTGTCATAAATAGCTTTTATTATTTTGAGATACGTTCCATCGATACCTAGCTTATTGAGTGTTTTTAGCATAAAGGGCTGTTGAATTTTGTCAAAGGCCTTCTCTGCATCAATTGAGATAATCATGTGGTTTTTGTCTTTGGTTCTGTTTATGTGGTGAATTACGTTTATAGACTTGCGTATATTGAACCAGCCTTGCATCCCCGGGATGAAGCCTACTTGATCATGGTGGATAAGCTTTTTGATGTGCTGTTGCAATCGGCTTGTCATTATTTTATTGAAGATTTTTGCATCTATGTTCATCATGGGTATTGGCCTGAAGTTTTCTTTTCTTATTGAGTCTCTGCCAGGTTTTGGAATCAGGATGATGTTGGTGTCATAAAATGATTTGGGAAGAATTCCCTCTTTTTGTATTGTTTGGAATAGTTTCAGAAGAAATGGTACCAGCTCCTCTTTGTATGTCTGGTAGAATTCAGCTGTGAACCCATCTGGACCTGGGCTTTTTTTGGGTGGTAAGCTCTTAATTGCTGCCTCAACTTCAGACCTTGTTATGTGTCTGTTCAGGGTTTCGGCTTCTTCCTGGTTTAGGCTTGGCAGGAGGCAAGTGTCCAGGAATTTATCCATTTCTTCCAGGTTTATTAGTTTGTGTGCATAGAGTTGTTTGTAATAATCTCTGATGATGGTTTGAATTTCTGTGGAATCTGTGTTAACACTGATAGATTGGTCATTTGATAAACATGCCTTTTATCCATGTTTAGTCATTAAGTTTCAGTATTTAAAGAAATTAGTTTGATATATTTTGAATTTTAAAAAGTAATCTATAACTTGTTAGTGTTCTTCATTCTTTTAAATTTACTTTTATCATGACTATGTTCTTACCATCTCTGGTAGATTCACTTTAATTTTACCTGAATTCTTAATGTATAAGGTTAAAATATCCAGTGTATTATATAATTTTTACAGCATCTTGGACTTGGTCAATGAATATGTTAATTTTAATAGTGGAAAAAAATCACAATTTTGTGACATACTGATTACAGAATAAGCTGTCTTATACATGGACCATTAAGGTCCTCAGGCTTGTGATTAATTGGCCTGGATATTCATCTTTGTTCTGATGTATTCTAGCAATGGGATGTTGCTGTTGCCCCTTTTAGGAAAATAGCTGTAGTGATGTTATTTTCCAGTTTTCTATTGTCTTAAAACAAACTTTTCCAAACAATGATCATTAAAACGTATCAACAACAACCACTATGTCTTCTATTTAAGAATCTTGAGCATGGCTTGGCATGGATATCCTTATCTCTGACTTGTGCCTTCAGCTGCAATGTCTCAAACTCTGGCATGCCTGTTAGGCTGGGGCTAGAGCCTCTCTCACTCACATATCTGGTGGTCCATCTCAGTTCTCATCTAGGCCTCAGCTGGGACACCTGCATTGGGGCTATTTATAAGGCTATTTTACACAACATCAGGGCTAAGTTGCAAGCGAACATCTTAAGAACACAGAGAGAAGAAAACGCCATTTGAATGACTCTGCCTCACAAATCACTTAGCATCACTTCAGACCCACTTCTCAGTGGTGGGCATCTCAAAGGCTGACTCAGATTCAAGAGAGAGGCACTTTCAATGGAAGGAGTGTCAAAACAATTTTATAATAAGGGTGTGTAGGATGCCGTCATTGTGGCAAAGATCTTTGAAAAATACAGTCTGTCATAGCCTTTCTCACTGAATTCTCATGAAGATCAAGAACAAATAATGTCTGGGGAAAAGGCTAGTAATATGAAATGTTCAATATGGATTTTTGTTTCTTTGTGATTAGCTTACAATTTTATTAGCACAATATGGAATATCTAATATATGTTAAAATGTGGTTCCAAAATCTAAAAATAATTATTTTTTATCTCTTAGTTATAAAGTCTTAATGAGCAGAACCGGAAAAGCAAGAGGGATATGTATGCATATATACACACAATATATTATATAAATATAAGTATATATTATATAATGATTTTAATTTTCCTGATTTAAATGGACTGAAATAGGGATAATTCTGCATACTAGCCATTCAGAAATACAGTTAGTTCTTTATCTACCACTTATTTTCTGCCAGAAGTTTCTCATTAATCCCTCTGAAATTTACTAGTGCCACCACTTCCTTTTTTAGATTCTTCTTCTATATTTCACTAGATGAATAGATTGTGATCATACAAGCATCTGTGTGCAGAATAAGTACTTATTACTCTACTAAGTGTACATTCCTAAGAGAGGCAACCAACATTAGCGGAAAAAAGAATAAAATTGAATTGGATTTTTAGGCGTGTACATATAGTGACAATTAATTTTATCTAGACCTACAAATGTCAGGCACGTTCTAATCTCTGTGCTTTTATTTCTTGAAGGATTTAACTTTTTGGAAATTATAGACTTCTCTCCAGTCCACTCACAATATTACTTCCCTGATGCAGTCTAATAGGAGCAATGTAGAGCTGTGTTTTTCTAGATGTAAACTTTTCTATTCTAAGGTGTCAATTTTAAAGACATGCATATACTGTCTTTACATGTTTATCCACATGCATGCACACAACATATACTTTTTCCTGTCATGGAATAAATGAACAATTCTCAGAGGAAGTAAATTCTTCAGTTCTCAGTGACTTCAGTCTATAATCTATAGACAGGTCAAAGAATAAGAGAAAAAAGGAGACTTTCCATGGCCTTGTCTTCCCACGCTCCTCTTTAAGAAACAATCCCACGGATGTTATGAGTCATG